TTACATTATAGTAATGTATTGAATAAATAAATAAATAAATCTTCATGTTCGACCTGCTCAAAAACAGTAAATGTCCGTATTAGAAAAATGGACGACATTTAGGATGAAGTCGCTGGTAGCATCATTAGCACGCGTTTTCGTCAGCCAACTGTCAATTACGAAAACGACTTACTAGCATTCCTTTCCCCTCCTGACCGAATTGACTGCATCAACAAAGACATCAAACAAAAACTCGCAGTCCGTTGGTCCAGCTGTATGCTCAGGATGGAATTGGACGCTTAAAAGGGAGGATTTCAAGTCGCATGCAAAATCAATTTGGAGCAAAATTAGTAAGTAATTCCTACCTGAACCAAGGCTTTATCTTATGCGCAATACCCTCATTCGTCGTGTCATTCTCATTCGTGAACAGCGGTCGCCAATCATGTGGCAATGAAGAAGCATCTACTGCAAAACCATGATTCTGCGATGTTATAAAACATCTCCAGGTATCCGCATGGGTGCATGGCTGGTTATGTCCACGATTACCGTACCTTAACACCTATCGTAACCGGTACGTCTCGCTACAGGAAAACAAAAGTCATACTTCAGCTTGTAGGTTTTCGCACCAGCTGCTCGGGCTAGCAATTGATGTCCCAGGCAGATTCCAAAAATGGGTTTATTGGTTGTTTGCAACAGAGCTGAGAGACGATCAACCAGAGCAGAGCACTTCTCTGGATCACCAGGGCCATTAGAAATGAAGAGGCCATCGAATGCTGAAAAACAGAGACTACAAGAATTAGATAAAAATATGCAGTAAATGCCTTTCACCGGGCCAAGAAAAACTTTGTTTTTGCTCAAGAACGCCAAAGACCAGTGCCAGCATGTAAAGACCAGAAATACGAAAACAATATAAATAAAAAAATACCTTCTTTTTCGAAAGGATGGTCCCATGGCACGACTTTGACGCGCACTCCTCTATCCACCAAGCATCGAATCTGATTGTTCTTCATTCCACAATCGACAGCGACAATAGTAACATCACCAGCACCAAAAACTTCGGGACCCTAGAATTGTCAAAGTG